GTAATTATAACTTCCCTATATAACGGTAAAAACAGTTTTCCTCGCACGTGATGCTAATTGATATTCGAACGGAAATCATTCACGCACACGAGTTCTCTTTATATTATATTTTTACAAATCAATCAGACACAGAGTGAACTCACAATTAATAGTGCCCACAATGATACATTAATGTCTGCGATTAAACGAGTTTATTATGCTTTGGATAAGTAATGAGACAGCAGCGAGAAGAATCGCATTATTTGATGCTTCTGGGCAAAAACTGGTTATCGCGGTTGAACATGCAAGCTCTTTCTTGCAGCGATGCACGTAAAATAGGAATTATCGCGGAAAATTTCCCTCTTTCTCCCTTTTTCTTTTGCAGTTGCATCATTAGAACCAGTGGGCATCGACGCAAAAGAATTAGAGCTCACACGTGATCAGAATCTTAAATATTTAAGCCATGACATTTACTGCGATGGACGATCGTAAAGCGCGAAAACAACATTCTTGTCGAGTCACCCGTGAAAAAGCTTCCGCATTTAGACGCCTCTATCATCTCGATCGAGACGGGCAAGTCGAAAAATTGGTGTACGTCCCAGCGGAAGCTCGTAAAATTGAAATTAAGATATCAACGGGACTTAATCGCTCTCGTGTAAATGAGATCGTTTATTCCTCTCTCGATACGACGACACTACGGAAGAGCACGTGACGCGTAACGAACATTTTTTTTTCCACTTTCCTGCGACTAGTTCTAAAAATATCTTTTTTTTCTTGTATTTCCAATTCTCGTAAAAATAAAAAGAATTGTGCATTTTGTTTTATTTTATTAAGTGAGTTTTATTAGCAAATTAAAATTGGAATCGATGTAAAATAGCACGATTAACAGTAAATGTTAATTATCCTTAGGTTGTCCTTTAAGTATTAATATATCATATTTAAACGTTAATACTGACAATTATTAAGTACATCTTTGAAAGAGTAAAACCAAATCGATCATGCATAAGATTGCATTGATTTAAATGCACGATCGGCTAGAAATTGGAGTATTTCCGGGATTATGATCTAAGACGTATTGACAACATCACCAGAAAGGATCTGACCGAGAAGAATACAAGCTCTACAACTAGCTGTAAATTAACCACACACCACGATACGATGATCCTTCATGCAAGTTCTTGTTTGTGCATTTATGTTATGTTATATATTTATAACTTACATATCGTAAGATATAGCCGGATGTATCGCTGATACATAGATTAGAGTTTTCAAATATTATTTTATTTTACGTTAAATATCGGCAAAACATGCTCTCATCGGTGCAATATTATTGCGTTTTTTATTTATGATGCTATCTTTTTGCCCAAATTAAATAGCCCAAGAAGCTTTAACGAAATTAAAAAGAAGAATACACAGAAAAAAAGGACATTCTTGTTTTGAAAATATATTTAGTTTTAACATGGAAATCTTGAAATGAGATTATATTGCGTTAATTAAAGAAAAATATAATTGTTTGAATAATTGTTTACTTGTATAAAGCCATTTTGTATAATTCAATCAAGAAAAATATATTCTTATGATTTAAGATTTAATTTTCTTGAATGGAAAAGAAACAATGTTGGATAGAAAATAACATTTTTAAATCAAAGATTATAATTTTCTTAAAGTAGAATTAAATAATTATATATTCTTGAGATGACAATTACAATATTAAAATAAGACTATAATATTGTTGAAATTTAAAATTATTAAATTCTTCTAAGATTATTTCTTAGAGAAGAATTTATTATTAAAAGAAGAATTATTATTAGAAGAATTTATTATTAAATTGTTGTGTATATATGAAACAGTGATCGCGTTAGTTTAAGTATATAAGTTTTGACGCTTCTTTTTTTTCTGTGTAGAAGGACATGTTGTGTGTGGCATGAAAATTCGCCATAAAAATCACGAAACATGATTCTGTGTACTGTCGTCGGCAATTGAAGGCATCATGAATCCAAGTGTAATTTTGCATTGTATAAACGCACGCACATCGGCAACTGTCGGAGTATAGTTAGATCGCGCTTCCTTTCTCGGCGCATGCAAACCAGTGCACGATCCTCCCAAGCACTGTGGTTAATGTCCCGTTTGATTGGTCGGCACTTTGGTGTGTACGCGATCGCGGTGAACGATCCATCGACGACGATCGATTCTCCGATCGTCAATAGCCTTGTCTCCGAAGCATCATCTTTTTTCACTAATCTCGAATGACAGGGGTTTATATTTGATCTTGGACTTGAACTTGCTATCAGATTTTTAATGATCTTATTCGCGGGAGAAATAGAGAAATAGAACGTTCATGTTCTGTTTAAATTTAAAATCTAAGATGTCCCATCTTTTGAATTAGGAGCTTGTTATATTCTGGAAATTTTATTATTTTTTATAATTTTTATTTTTTTTAAAGAAATTTAATTGATTATAAAACATTATGCAAAATTTTTAAACTTGATTTTCAATTTTGATTCATGATATAGTATTTGCTATTTAGGAAAAAGATTAAAGGTATAAAATTATTTATTTAAACATGTACAATAGATCGGCAGAATATTTATTAAACATCAACATACACAAACTTTGCGAACATTGCTTGTTAATATCAATAAAAAATCATTACAACGATCAAGAACCTAAGAGAATCTAGGGCAAAATGAACGCTGCAATAACCAATAATTAATAATTTCCGAGATTGCCGATAAGTGATACTACACGGTCAGAAATTGTAGAATATGCTGCTGTGAAATATATGTGCAGAGTAAATAGTACCTATAGTACTATAAAATAGATTCTACATTAATAATACAATATTATGTCTTTAATATTGTTGCTTCGTTATTTTTTTTTACGTAGGTGCAATATAAAGCTCCAATATACTTCATTAAGTTTAAAAAGTACATCATCACCATCTATCTAATAAATTATTAAAAATATAAATTTAATTTAAAAACTTTAACAATTTATTTATATTTTAAAAGACGTAATTTAAATCGACCACACTAGCAATTTATTGATTGGTAATGTATCACAACGTTTCGACCATGGGTTTTGGTCCTTATCGAGTGAACTAAAATTATTTCCAGTATTATAAACAGTAAATAAATTACAATAATTTGAAATAAAATGTGAACAAAAAAATTATATACATACAGTATCTTAGTTAACTATTATATTGTAAGAAATAAGGAAATCACTGTGTCAAGATTCCATGTCAACCTCTCCATCAAACACAAAGAGAAAGACTAAACAATCTTTACTAATCTATCATAAATATTGTTTAAATTCTCATTGTCCTTTTGTAAGTTAATAGTGTTGTTAAACTTTTTGATAAAAAACATTTTAGCAATTTCTCTCTTTCTCACATGTTTTTTCATTATGTAAAATAACCGGTATTGACCAATCGAAGTCATGATTAATCCATGACTTCAACAAGGTCAACAAGGATGGCGACATTCAAGAATTTAACATCATTTTACGCTCCTGAATCTAATTATGGACCCTTCGCAAGCTGATATATTTTTCGAAATGATTACGAATCGATTTGGCAATATCTACACGATCTTGTTGAAATCATGAATTAATCATAACTTCGATCAATACTGGTTATTTTACATAATAAGAAACATGTGAGAAAGAGAGAAAATAGACTAGTGAAGGTTGTTTAGTCTTTCTCTTTATGTTTGATGGAGAGGTTGACATGATGGAATCTTGACACAGTGATTTTCTTATTTCTCACAATATAATAGTTAACTAAGATACTGTATGTATATAATTTTTTTTTGTTCAAATTTTATTTCAAATTACTATAATTTATTTACTGTTTATAATACTGGAAATAATTTTAGTTCACTTGATAAGGACCAAAACTCATGATCGAAACGTTGTGATACATTACCAACCAATAAATTGCTAGTGTGGTCGATTTAAATTACGTCTTTTATTTTATCTACTGGCGACATTCAAGAATTTAACATTATTAATATTTTATAATTTATTTATTTATTTATTTATTATCATGTCATATATATATACATATATAATTATAAATATATATTAATATATATTTTTGTTTTATTTAAGAATCTTATTTGGGTTTTTTATGGATTTCTCTTTTGTAAGAGAACAGTTATTTTTATTATTTTTAACATTGCAGAGACGAGTAACTGATTTAGGCACGTAATGAAAGATGGTATTCTTGTAGCATTTTTTTAGAACAATAGTAATGGAGTAATTATTATTTAAGCCTCTCTTTCTGTAAGATACGTAAATGTATAACTTCTCGGCGAGAAGATCGGATACCAAGAATAGCCAGATAATAGATTAATTAGATACATGTTGCCGTTCCGCTTCGAACTAATCGATTAAGAATTTTTGCAGCCAACTTCTCTCGCACATGAAGCGTACACACTTTTCGTATCAGTGCAACGAATCGCGACCATGGTCCATGAAAAACTCACGCGGGATAATATTTCTGATCTTCACGTAAATTAGTCGGTAATCAGTACTTAATGCGATAGTGGAAAATAATCTACCTCAAAGATCGAGCCACGATTTGGTATCGACATAAATTACATGGATTCATAAACGCATTATTTTAATTTACCGAACCGGGATAATAATTAATGACCGGCTATACGACGACTGGATTCATAATTTTACGTTAAGTAATTTTTCATAAAAATTATCGACATATATTATTATAACATCAGATCTTAAAAAATGTTACTGGAGAAGGTTAAAAACCATCATAATATAAGCTATTTACTATAATTTTACAACATCACGTAATGCGATGATGTAAAGAAATATGTAAAAAAAATATGAAAACATGTAATGACAAATTTCTAAAATTATTATAAACGAGACTCTTCCCGATGTCACTTGATGACACAATTTCGATGCGTCGCATCTCGCGATGCCGGACAGTCCAAATTATTCGCATGAAAATTTACGCAAAATATAAATCAGCATCGTCAAAGTTCACTTACAGCGTGATCTTCCGATCCATCCTCGCGTCAGCCATGCACTACCTGACGATCACCTTCGACCCCTCGCGACCGTCCGGTGAGAAGAGAGCAGCTTCCGAGTATTACCCCGAGGTCTCTATCACGAATCACAGTATCACTCGTAGAAAGCGAAAGGTGCGCGCGGCGCGTATACACGGATATATACGTCCGCAATTTCCGTTCACCACTTGTGGCTGCTGTACAAGTCCTCCTCCACTTGTGCGCGTCCGACACGCGTATCCACTTCCACTGCGGAAGTCAGTCGAACATTCCGCGCGCGATTCTCCGAGGGCGACAACGAAGAACAGAGAAATCACCCCAGAGAGAGATCAACCAGCCCTTTCTCTTTCTCTTTCACTCCACCGATGATAGGTGTAAACGCTCGCGGAAATTCGCGCGATGTTTGACGACGAGAGCGTGCCTAGAGCCGAAATAGAGCAACGTCTGCGCAACTCTATTCTCTGGTCGTAACACTCTGAGATAACCGCCGCGCCGGTGGCCGCCGCGCTCTTCTTCCACGGTCGCGGAAGGTGGGAAGATCAGCAGGGAGGAGAAAGACGTAGAACGTGGAGTAGAGGTGACCGCAGTGACGGTGATGACTACGATGGAGGTGGCGATGACGTACTGGAGTAGTAGTGGAGAGGTAAGTGACGGTGGCGGCGGCGGCGGCGGCGGTGGTGGAGGTGGTTGGTGGATGTGCCTCGTAAGAGGATGCTCACTGTATAGAGCACTGCACCGTAATGACATGGTCTAGGAGATGCCAGTCAGTTTTGTAATAACGACGGTAAAAAGTGAATTTCCAGCAAGGTGGGGAAACGCGCCTAGGGCCAATCCGAGGATCCGTTGCCCATCGGAGGCGACCAATCGGAGCACGACATTCCAGAATGTGACTATTCTTCTTCTTCCTCCTCTTTGTCTTCTTCATCTTCCTCGTGTTCGTCTTCTGGTATCTCGACGGCATGACATCTCTCTCCCCCGATGCACCAGAATGGTTCGAAGCTATTGTGCTTTGGGCGAAAGTCCTCGCGATGCTTCGCGGAGGCTGTGGAAATTGAATAATCCGCCACCGTTATGTCATTACGTTTCTCAAGTGTGCATTAAATGGAAGCTATTGATATACCTTAAGATATATCATAAGAATACACACAATATAAGTAGTATAAATATAATATAAGAGTACAACGCGCTTCGACGCTTTAAGATAGTTTTAGAGATGTGTACATGTTATATATTCCATTTAAATTATATTAACCGGGATAAAATTTTCTTGTTATTTTAATAAAAATGAGAAGAATAATTTTCGCGACCTCGATAAATAATTAATAAATTTTAACATAGTTTTATGTTTATATGTAACACATAATATATTGACTTGTTCCTGATAAGTTTATATAATTTTGTTAGATTAAATATTTTCATCATTATCACAAGTCTTACGGTTTCTGTGATAACTTAGTTGCGAGCATATATTCTGATAATTCATCTTGCTAACGAAATGAGCAGAAATCAGTTAATATATTCAAGTGTTTGAACACATCTCCGGTTCTGTTATCGTTTGATACGTAACGGAGTATCTTAATTGAAAAATTATTATACAAACAATTTAGGACACGGAGATACTTGAGATACATATGAAAAAAAAGAAAATCAGCATCGATTTGAAACAATTTAAGGTACTTTGAGATTCAATTTTTCTTTGAAATCAATCAGCTATATAATCACTTTCTTCGTGAAAAGCTGCAAAAATTCAACGACATATTGCGAACAAAGACATTGACGGCATCTCGGTATTCAATTTAAAACGGAAAACGCTACATTACGGTCCGGTATTATTTCGCATCCGTATCCTCTGATTTAAATTTAATCATAATGGGTGGTACAGTTAAGGAGGTAGCTGTATCATCGGCAATACCGGGCGATAATGTATGCGTCTCACTCTGGTATGATAATTGCCGAGAGACGCGGCGCTCGCGATATTGATATGAAAATGCCGTGATTCACGGTGCTGCTGCAACATATGTTGCACGCATCAATACGCAGAACGATAAGTCGTTCTTTATTGCATAACAGTAACGTAATTTCTTAAAACCCGAGCTAGCGCCGCACGGCGCATCCCCCGATATTCTTATTGCCTCGTATTTCAGGGCAGGCATATTCAGACAGGATACGTTTTACAGCTGTCGATGAAACTGCGAATCGACCAATTTTACCGTTCGCTCCCAACATTTCCGTTGCACTTGCACTGATTGTCAATTAAACGCACAATGTGGCTGACGTAATACTCGATTGTTATTCAAACTTTTTTTCATAATTGAAATATTGAGTAAATATTGAATAATTATTGAGTAAATATTGAATAATTATTGAGTAAATATTGAATAATTATTGAGTAAATATTGAATAAATTAACCGAAAGAACTTTGTAATAAAATTATAAAAAGATGCGATTATTGTGGCATGCGAATCAATATATTTTCCGACATACATTATGAATCAAAGTAGCATAATATTATATATATTGCTTGTATTAATTATCGAGATTATTGTTTCTCAGTCGTACTAATGTATTGTAAGCGATTTTATTTTATTTTCAATTTTATTTTTTTTACTTACTTTATTTTATTTATTTATTTTATTTTTTTACCTACTTTATTTTTTTTTATTTATTTTATTAACCCGAATTATATGAGAGATCGCAAGAATCACGCGAATTCCTTGCCTGCGAACGTAATTGTTTTTTCCGAAAGAGCAACAAAAAAGCTGAATGTCTAAATTATTCATTGGCACAATCAATTACAAACATTATTAATTTATCATGGACGATAAATACGAATAAATGTAGCAGAAATTGTGCATCGAGTTTATCATGTTTTTTGCCACATCTTTCTCTTTCTCTTTATTTTTATCGGCGGAGATTTGAGAGAAAAGCGTTGATGAGAGAGAGATGAAGGGAAAAAACGCGAGAAAGAGAGGTGCGGAGGTAGAATGTGTAGGAATTTTCTCTTGCACGCCTTCTCTCTAGTTGCAGTAAAAAGGGCCATTGTTCCGCGGAAGCTACTGTCGCTTCGCGAAGCGTTTCCGCGAAGATTCCGCCTCGCACTTGACTAACGGCATTCCGCGCATCATCCACAGGGAAATTGCGAAGTACCTGGCAAGCATTACGCAATAGGCGGTTTCCGACATATTGCGCAAAAAAAAAGACTTGACTTTTTCGAGATGGATTCTGTCTCACGACTTGTACGCTTAACTTTTAATGACAGGTAGATTCATAAAACTGACTTTTTTATCGCAAATTCTATTTTTCCCTCTTGATTTTTGAAATGATTCTTTTTTTACGTTATAATCTCTATATGCGCTAAATAAATAGATATAAATAGAAAAACGGATAAAAGAGCATAATTATGATGCTTACAAAGATATGTAAATTTATTCAGAAACGAAATCAACGAGCGATGCTTGTTTTCGGGCAAGAATTTTGCACAATCTCCGCGTGTTTGAAGAAATTCTCGGCAAATAATCGCGTAACGGGAAGCATGGACAGCGAAATTTGCAAGACTGACGGCGCAGAAGGAATTTCTTGCACGGGGTAGTTTCGAGGAAGCTGCTACTGTAAAGAGGTACGGGCGAAGAAGCGAGGCGTAATGAACGAGATTGGCGTATAATCTTTCTGCTTATAGCATTTTTTATCGCGAGAGCACTTAGTCTATTCATAAACAAAATTTAGTAATAGAATTTACTTGAAACTCTCAAGTTAGGATCATGAAGACGTGGAACTTTGACCTCATATCTATACTTAACTACGGCATCGAGCCCGTAATATATTCTCCATATGCAATATTATGTTGTTCCTCGCGAAACGGTGAGTTTACGAAAGTGCACATTAGGCGAAACGTAATGATGACTAGTCAAAAACAATAAGACCGTGCTAGACGAGATGCGGGAGGAATATTGAATGCGAGGTGTTTCGAGAGAGGCTCCCGCGAGTTTGCGCGTTCGCATAACGGGAAACGATATCCCAGCGATATTGACGAAATTGACGGCAGGGAGAGACTTCCTTGCGTTTCGCGCGGATCCGAGGAAGATGCGGTACAAGGAGAAGGAGAAGAGAGAGAGCCGTCAAGGTTCCGGGTTCGATTCCCAGGGCTGCGAAGGAATGGCGCCTCTCTCCCTCGCCGTGCGATCTAGATCGAGAGACTTAAAAGTACTTTCCTGCCTATCGGCAGAGAGAGAGAGAGAGAGAGAGAGAGAGAGAGAGAAAGCACGAGAGCGTAGTAGCGATAAATTATTGCAGTACGGATGATTTCGCGAGAGCAGAGGTCAAGATCGACGTCCGAATACGGTGCGGTGCGAGGGAAGAAGAAGACGTAAGCGTTGTGTTACACACCTCCTTTTAGCCGAGATTAAAACTATATTAAGCGCGGCGAGAAAGAAAGAGAGAGAGAACGATCGAGAGATTTCGTCTCTAAAAATCTAGCATAATGCAGAAATGCGCTAATGAAAGATAATTAAGAGATAACGAATTGAAATAATAGGTTCCATTCACGCAAAATTGCATGCCAGAAAATCAAGATTTCAGCCAAGAGGGTAATTATCGACTATATCGTGCGATTGTTATTAAGACACCTTAATATGTTTGTCTAATATATTTTTTATTAACTGAAAACCATAAAACCTCGATACGTATTTTATACATATGAGTAATATTTAATATTTAATATTTAATATATTTTTTATAAACTGAAAACCATAAAACCTAATATCCTCGACACGTATTTTATACATATGAGTAATAATTTAATATAATCTTTTATTCAAAATCTTGATTTAAAATATGATCGATTTGTAACAAATCTTTTTTACATATTTGATTGTATGACTTGTCTATATTTTTTCTTTAACTTTGCTACATAAAGCAATTTCTAAAAGTTATTATTATTTCCACTCAGATATCTTCAGATATTATACTAATAAGATAAAGAATCGTAACGAACAGAAGAACGGTAAATACGGCCATATAAAAGGAATTACCCGTGAGAAACTTTAAAGAGATGCGCATAATATTCCATCGAATGCTCTGATGATTGCCGATAAAAAGACCGATGAAATTCACTGTCTCGGGTTGATTTAAGATAATTAAACTCAATATACTTGTATATTTTTTGATAATATCAATATTGTCTCATAATGTAGTCGGCAAACATCTGGGCTGTGAATGATTTTTTCCATTGTCAGGTAGGGAATTGCGATTCAACGCTTGTTAACATTCCATTCCCCGAAAGTCAGTAACAGCTTTGGGAAACATCCTGAACACGGAGAAGTTAAGCGATGCGTCGCGGATGTGCGCTTCGGAACTCGCCGCGCGAGTACCAGAAAATTGCAATCTTGAATCTTCTTTCCACGATCGCGTGCATTCTTATTCTTGACGATCTGCCTTGACGATAGAAGTCGTGCCCCGACTTCCTTGTGTATAAGCTGGAAGTTGTTAATTCATGGAACGCTAATCCGTTGCGTGAAATGAAACGCGCAACATGCGTGCACCGTAAATCAAAAAGAGATAATAGATACTAAAGATAGATAATAAACGCCACATTGTTCCATAATTACGAGACTTTTCGGCCAGGAATTGATTTAAACTTTGATCTAAGAACGTTGTTCCCAGAACTGCAATTAAGAGATTATTAAAACGCACATTCTACAAATTACA